TAACGTCTTTCAAAGTTATATGTACGCTAAGGACGGATATTGGAACAATGTATATATGATTTCAGGAATTTTGCTGTTGGACCTGATAAGCACAATATCCTATTATCATTTCTTCGCACTTAGCATTTTTTGTATATGTACACATGTGAATATCGCACGTATGAATAATTTATTTACTGGTATTTTACTTAATTATTTTAGCATATTGCGGCTAATTTATTCGTTATATTTATTATTCGTTTACCGTTTCCTGGGTCCAAATTAATTTCTTCGTCAGCGTATACCATTCATTTTATGCTATAAATAAGAAGTGAATTATAAAAGCCACATATATACATATACATTGGGTTCACTTACATTTTTTATTCTCGTATATTCTCTATTTGCATGACGTTCTTTTACATAATTTTTGTTATCATTTTTGTCCCTGGATTAAACGTCTACAATAACGACCGGTTATTTCACTAAATAGGTAAATAATGAATATTAGTAAATATACTATTATCAGTGCCGACATTAATCATTAATATTTCTATCAATGAACATTTAAGGCACGAATGTTCCGTACGTGATTCGTGTTTGTTGTTACACAGAAACGCATCAATACGTTCGCACATCTTGTCAACGGCTTCTCTGCAAAAAGCATTGGGAAGTCCGAGTCCGGGGACAAATAAGAAAAAGGATTCGAAACGAAGGAGTTCACGGAAAAGTGATTCCGCGGCATCATCGAAAACCGATCAACCGACCAGTCAGTGGTATACCACAACTGAAATATCTCAAAATACATCAACTCCTGTTACGCCATTGTTATCTAGTTATCCTAGTACTCCAATATTCGAGCTTCGTCAAGAGGTAATATAAGTGTTTCATTATTATTTACTGCTCTGTGTAACGGTAAAATAGTATAACATACTACGATTTACGCTCGATTGATTTTTTTTTCTTTTTTTTTCTTTGCAGCTAACACCTAAACGTCCTTTAAGATCAGAGATAGAAAAGGAAAGGAGAATAAGTAATCGGTTGTCCGGCCAATCTCAACATTATTTAAGAAATGTAAATAACGGAATGGATTCAAGTAGTTTAGGGAAAGGAAATAGGGACAGTATTGGCACGACAGACAGTACAGCATCCGAAGATGATCCACCGCCGCCATTACCCGTGAAAACGCGTGAAGCTGATTACTGTAATCTTCCGGACGAATTACCCGCTTCCCATTGCGGAACAGATAGTTTAAATAATTTAAATAGACCTCTGGGGCACTGGACAAAGAACAAGCTTCCAACACCTACAGACGATCTTGACGTTCAGATGAAACCACCTACACCACCGCCGAAACCAAAAAGACCGCCTTACAGTTTAAACAAGCTAATGCATCCTACTGGCGATGTAGATAACTTTAGTCAAGATCCGTCCGTAACTTGACATAGACTTTTTTACGATCGTTTTTCTTGCCAGTATACTGAGCATTGCGTGTAATAATATTTATAGAAATGTTTTTATCCCGAGCAGTATATAGAATGAGCTTAAAATTTAATATATTTTGTGTTCCACGATTATAGTACGGTTACACGATACAGTTATTAACATAGAACGAAATGCTAAAATTAGCAAATTGAACTCGGTCAAAATTATTCGTTAATTCCGTGAGAAGTAACAGTAAAACGTTTCTGCTAAATTCCAACGACTGGATTTAATACGATTCCCAGAGAAACTATTTTTTGGTACATGACACGAACTCCCATACGATGTTAGGTCTATCATAATACCTCTTCTGTGGTTTAGTACGTAGGTAAAAAGTTACCATTTACATTTGTTTTTCTGTACCTTTGTTCTTGCATCAGTGAAAAGGTGTTTAACAATACTGACAGTAATTAACAAATTATATATAATTATATAAGATTATAATATTCTTTATACACGTATACTAAAAGCTTTGCCGCTATTCCATCCAATTATGGAATTTTCGAACAAACTATATACATCACTAATATACCTATAACAAAAATCTAATGATGATTCACGGAAGCACAGTTTCATATTACACGATTCGTATGTTTGACATTTTTTCTTTTTACACGCGAATATTCAACTACTACGTACTTCACATAATTAATGGACTAAAATACTATGATACGAAAGTATAAATATAAAGTATGCATAATATAATAATTAGAGGCTGATATTACCATTTTTACTGCGTATTTTTGTAAATTTTGATATTAGGCGTTTTCCCTACAATATATCCCTTTTTAAAGCAAATTTTACTGTTACCGTTGTTAGTATTTTCTACTGTTTTATTATGCCAATACGAACAATTCAACAGAGCTATTTTTAAAATGCAAAATATTTTTGGCGTCCACCAGTTTTTCATGCTCAATTTTATATCAGAAATCTGTTTCATCGATTCTTATGAAACTAATGTTGTCAATATACAACTATGACCTAAGCATTACCGATTTATTGTGATTTAGTCGTATAAGATAAGAATTTATGCTTTTCATAACAATTGACGACAAGAGATTCATAATCTTATGAATAATGAATTAATAATGTATTGGAATATAATCTTATAATTTCTAAGCACAAAGAAAAACAACAGAAAAGCATTAATTCTATGCATGAAAGACAACTGATTGATCATAATTGAATTTACAATGTTTATTTATTGTACTACTGTACGATACCATAACAGATTATTAAGAGTCAAATAACGAATTTTAACGATAAAACCATAGACATCAGTTACGAAGCACTATAATATAATAGGAGAAAAGCAATTCTCGCGTGAGTCTCATACCAAAGAGATTAGTGCTTTATTTATTTAATTTGTTAACAAATGGTATGTATTAGTTAAGCAATGTTATACGACATTACCTGCTTAAAACACGAATAATATATGTATATTCAGTAGTTTTATCTTTCATTAATGATGAGCTAAAAGTTACAATTGTACGCATGTAGTTTTAGTTAATTTTTAAAGTTTACCGTAAACGAGGAAAAGAAATAATATACATTTAATGTGCCATTTCTTTCTTTAATGTTCATAATGATCGATTTAAATTTAATTTAGGGACCAATGTAACGACGTTGTATGTCAAAGTTAAAATTTATTTACTGTTGCTCATAATACATAATTCTATTCATAAATTTTGTTTCCTTATTACTAATAAGCGTGTACATCACTTTTCTAAATTACTTAAATATAAAATACATGACATAAATTTATATTTCAGACGTAAACATATGTAGTTGTTCACCTACTTTTATGATATTGTGCATGACTCCTCGTTTGGTTCCTTTGTTTTTGTTGTTTTTTTACTTTCTTTTTGAGGATTCAAAGGTGGCGTACAATTACTCGTTTGAGGATTCGGCGGAGGCTGCGTAAAATTTCTCGTTTGAGTATTTGGAGTATGTAAAGATCAATGAATTTTGTAGATTGATAAATATAATGTGGAAATCGGGTCTTGATAGAATTAAAAAGATTAATAAAATTACCAGTAATGTTTCACTTCTTTGGAATGTGTCATTGGACTTTATATTTCCTTTTTGTAACTGCAAGTAATTTTTTACAAAAATATTAATATTACTACATTATTTATTTTTAAAAATTTGTAAATGTTATTTGTAAAAATTTAGTTCTGTTACCATATGATTTAAATTTGGATATAATTCATTTTGAATTTCAGAAAATGCAGGGGCACTAGGTTGACTGCCAAAATTCTGAAAAAAATAGAAGTATTTCCTTTATATAGAATGAAATTTATAAGATAAATAAATTTAGAAAATACAATATTACATTTGAGACTGCTGAAGACGAAGGTGCAAAATATGCTGCCCTATTGTCCATTGGTCTAAAGGTTGGCTAGAATTGAAAAAAGATATAAGAAAGGAGACACAAATTAATTCAAATCATAAATATTAACTTTTATTTTCTACCTTCATGTCCATTCTTTGTCGATTAACAGACGGATTTAATATATTTGTTTTCATGTCTATCTAAAATAAATATAAAATAGAATTAAAAATGAAAAATTTGGAAAACTTCAATTTTCATTGTAAATATATATGTAAACAATGCATATGTTTACCTCTTTCTTTTCATCTTTTTTAAATCGACAACAGTCAGTGTAATGATTTCGTGCACCACATTTCATACATTTATGTCCCCAGGCGGGACAACATTTCTCCAAATGATGCATATTACAGTTTCTACATCTTTTAAGCACTGCGTTTATTTGATGATCTTTATCAGATAAGTTTACACCTATGTTAACATCATTTTTAAAATCTGTTTTTAATTTATTATTAACGTTAACATTTTTTGTTCCATTATCTTTTTGTGGTTGTCTGTGCTGAACTCTTTTTTTAATATTCATATGTTTAGGAGCTTTTATTTTTGTTTGTATAGCATTTGTATGTTCATGATAAATAGTCATTAATTTGATCAAATCAAGGTTTTCTGTATTGAATAGTTTCATTCGCAAATTTTTGTCTTTTATCCCTACAATCACTTTATCTCTAATGAGACTATCTGTCAAAGTTCCAAAATTACAAGTTTCTGCTTTTTTCTAAAATGTAAAAAAATAAAATAAGTATGCATAGTTAACTCCGTAAAGGAAATACATAAAAATTTATGGATATAACTCACTTTCAAATCAAGAATATAAGCATTAATTGTTTCATCTTTATTTTGGAATCTACTAAAAAATTTATATCGTTCAATAACTTCATTGTTTGAAACTTGAAAGTATATATCAAGTTGTTCTAATAAGTTGTTCATATTATTTATAGGTTTATTGCTTTCTTTATAAATCTTGTCTATGGCCGTTTGACCAATTACTCCTATGTTCTCTTTTAGCAGATGAATTTTTAAATCTTCCGACTTTTCAATAAAGTCATTCACTTTTAAATAATTGATGAAACCTTTTTTCCATTTCAGCCAGTTTTCCGTCTGATTTCCAGTGTTAGATAAAGGCATAGTAATCTGTTGTTCCATTTTTATAAGAGTTTCTTGAACAATGAAAGAATATATCTATAAAATTATTTATTATTACACATTGTTATATTTTGACATTACGTTAAAAATATGAATAATCAAAATCTATCATAATAAAGTTTAGATCTTAAAAACTTTTACTTACTTAAAGCCCACAAATGCGTCTTAAATTTTATAGCTGAAAACTTGGAAGAAAATTAAAAGTATTACAGCTTTGAAGTAAACATTGATTTTTTATACAAATTACATTATATTAATAATTAATAAGTTACTTTAACGAGGTAGTTGTCGATAATAACGTCGAAGTACGCGCACAGTTACATGATATACTAAAAAGGCATATCTTCTACGCAGCTAATACGTGAGCAAAGAGAACGGGGATTCCCTTATCACGATTGTCATTTAGACAACACCGAGGCAAGAAGGATTTTCCCCGACGTGTGTGTAGTTTTGATTGGTTACGTGTAACCGTACTGACGAATAGTAAATTAGTATGGAAAACCAAATTAGAAAAACTGAAAACTGACTAATCAGACAGCCATTTCTCAGTCTCGTTATTAAGTGATAAATATGTAAATCACAGAAGTCTCTAGACCCTAGTCCAGGCTTTCAATTGTATCTAAAGCTGGAGTGAGTTTTACAGAGACGAATGCCAATATGTACACGGTTTTCACCAGATAATAAAACTTAATACTGAAATGTATGAATCATTCATTTATATACATTCCATAACCTAGATAAGTCATATAGTATGTGATATCGTCAAATAAAAATCAAGGATCTGTACATAGTTTATCAAATCATTTATAGATATAGATGTACCGATCTTTCACCACTTGATAGATAATTGACTTTTTAGTTTCTACTTCTGATAGGGTATTGCTTTGTAATTGGGAAAATTAGAATGGACCCTATATTCCTGTGGCGGTCCTAATTAGATTTGAGAACAAATTAATGAGTTATTAGCGCCGAAAGGTATGTATTATTTTCCCGATTTCCACAAGGAAAGGTATATGGTGTGACAAGGACAGAAGTAGTTGCATGGTGACGCCATCTAGCGGGCAATGTCAGGTACTATTTGACTAGAAGTTTCAGCATTCAGCGAATAGGTGGAGCACCAATCCAAGATTCGGAGTGGGGGTTTCCAACAACGATTGCGGTAGTCTCTCGCAGGGGTTCGAGAGGTTCGTCACATCGAGTCCGGAGCTCTCGCGTGACGGTTTGAGGGTTTCCTCGGACCGATTCCGGCGGTCTCTCATTTAAATTTCGGAGTTTCCCGTGGGGGTTCGAGGGGGTCTCTCACTTAAATTTGGGGGTTCGAGGGGGTCTCTCACT